TAAAAAATATTAAATTTAAACATTTCTTAGAAGCAAATGGGAATAGACATACAACATATCAAAATGTGTGGGATAGTAGAAAAGCAGTTCTCAGAAGAAAGTCTGCATGTTTTATTGTTTTTCTTCCTTTCACTTTCAGTATGTGAATGTCTTTGCCTTTAAGGTGAGTCTCTTGTAAACAACACATGTTTGAGACTGGTTTTTAAACCACTCTGCCACTATGTCTTTTGATTGGAGACTTGAGAGCTGAAGGTGCTGGAGATGTCAAGTGAAGTGTGTGCATTTTAGATAACTGTCTACTTCTGGTAACTGTACAGTTTTAAATGCTATTTTTTGTCAAGTTTTATAAAAATGCATAATTTTGGTTTTTTTTTAAACTATGTTGTTAGCACACAGAATACTTCATTGTTGTTTTTTGGGGAAAGAGCATATATTTACTAGTAGAATGTCTTCAAAGCTGGATTGGTGTGGGGGAAAACACCTTTCCCTTCTAGTTTTGAGAGACTTCCTCTTTGTTCCCAAGAGGAGGGATTCCCTGATGTTGGCACATATAGCCAACTTGGCACAAATGCCTTGTGATAGGGAAAAACTCATCTTTATGTCCTCCTCTCCCTCTCTGCCATTGGCATAGACTTAACTCTCCTAAATTCAGACCTGTTGCGACTCGATTCCCAGCAATTGGTTTTACCAGTGTGTGGGTCAATCTGGACTTCCCAGTGATGTCATTGAGAATAGTGTCCCTGAGAATAGTGTCCCTCAGAAGATCAGTAGTTCCTTTTCTAAATTGTGGATCTTCAGATTAATAATTTTTGCCATTTCCATTTCATTTCCTGAAAGTCAGGATCAGCTTGTGAAAAGTTATTAAACAACATTGTAAATGTGAAATGTCAACCCTCACTCTAAGCTTTTCCTATTCAGAGCATCAAATGAAGACTTCATTGGGTTTTTTAGTGGCTTTCTGATTTTGGTAATTCATCCAAGAAGGGAGTTTGAAAGTTGTTGGGTACTGTTAATGATTGTCTGCCCATGTCCTGCCTGAAATACCATGATTGCTTATGAAAAATGTCTTTAATAAAGCTGGATACAGTTTGAAAAAAAATTTCAACTCACTCCAGTCAGACTGGCAGCTATTATGCATAGAAACA